ACAACATTGAAACAGTAACTTTTCTTCGCGTCAACTTTTGTTAAGGTTGTCAGACTAAAAAAAGAATAGTTCTATCGACATCAACGAAATGAGATAAGAATTTGATTTTAAAAGATAATTGAAGATTAAAACAACTGAAAGTCTAGTTTTCGATAATCATGCGACTAAAGAATAAATGGACAGGTTTTTTTCAGTTGATTTTCAATATGAAATTTTCATTTGACGACAGTACCGAATGGTAGCAATAATATTACTCATTTCAATTATGGAAAGAAATGTCCAATTAGTATTTAATTCATTATGTCTCAACACTTTTTAACCTTGTAGGTTTTTTTTATATCAAATGCTTCCACAATTATAGAGGTGAAATAAAAGAATGAGCATCTTAATTACGACCTACCGTTATAAGTGATTCAACAATTAGCTATAATGTCCATCAAAACTCATTGGACCATTGGAAAAATTATTTTCCTGTGGCATGTTTTACCAAATATACTGATATGTACATCACTAATCCAGCAAATGCTCACTGTGCATATTTATTAGAGAATGGCAAGCGAAAACTCAATAAGAAAGTACAATTGTTTATCGTCCAAAAAAGAAGTCGAGAGATTCACATCTCAAAATGAAAAACATGGTATGCCTTATGCTCTCTATTCATTGCTAGTACTATTATTTTTTTTTAGATCTCATATTTACAATACAAAAATAATTCTACCCTTGGATAAGTGGAATCGGAGGCCATTGCCAATCTTGTGCTACTATCATCTCTAGTTGAATTTTTCATTTTCCTTCAGTGATCAAATACATATCTGTGCAGTTATCTAAAGACAATACCTTTAGCAGCTAACTTCCATGGAAAACTTGAATTTAAACTGAAAATAATATTGAGAAAAGAATCCCAATAGATTTCAGTTCCACTTACTCAAGAGCACATGAAATGCATTTAGCATTTCTTCAACAATGTGTTATGGTCTATAAATGATATTTTCAGGATGCTCTCAGTAGCTCGAAATGTACCCAGGTCGAAAAGTACCGGCCGGTTCCGGCAGGAAAACACCGGAAATATCCGGAACATGGAAGCAGTATTCCGGCCGGAAATTTTCGGAATTTTTTCCGCTGATTTTCCGCTCGGTTCCTGCCGGAAAACACAGAAAATTGGCCGGAATTCACCGGAAAAAATCCGGAGAATTTCCGGCCGGAGTACTGCTTCCATGTTCCGGCTATTTCCAGTGTTTTCCTGCAGGATACGGTGATTTTTCCCGCATTTTCCTGCCGGTTCCTGCAATATCCGGTGGCCGGAACGATCGATCTGGGTATCTGTGGTTTTTTTTCCGTAGTCTATAGAAGGCTATACGTTTTTATTAATTTTTTACCATAGTTCTACTATGAGCATGTCAAATGAATATTGATTTATTAATTGTAGAAACATTAGTTCATTGTTTTTTTTTCTCCTTTGAGACAATACATTGATGCCAAAAATACAAGAAAAATTTCCTATGGAAAAAAAAACCATCATTAAACTTTGATATAGTCTTAATAATTCTACTTAATAGCAATAATCTTCAATCGATCACTCATCGATACATTGAAACATAAGACGAATACCAACACGAATTGAATTTTTATGACTAGATTCTTGAGTATTAATAGATTGTACCAAAACCATGGTATCTAATGCTAACGAAGTTGCTTTCGAAGTTAATGATTGAAAATATATTTTTTATGTAATTTCTTCATCATTGTTGCAGTATGAATCATACTTTATTATTTCCTTTTTGCTGTCAATATTAATAAATTAATGGTTTATAAATTGAATATTGATGATCATCATTGTATGAAAAAGACAATAATGACTTTATTTTTGTGCAATATAAACCTTACTTAGAGAATCACTACAAAATGTAATCACAGTTAGTTTAGTTTGTGAAGCATTTTGGTAAAGGAATATGATTTTCTTTGTACGTTGAGGCAAAAAAACAACATGTGCTATTTGCACTGCATGTGAATCAGTTGTAGGCATTGAATAAACGGGTGGATGTGGATGTGAGTACTGATGTGGCTCATCTTTTCACCCACACTCATATCCTACACTCGCAATATGTCTACTTGTTGTGGATAACTAGTTTACATAATAATCATTGTTTCTTTCAACAGTTACATGCTTTATTACGTCATTTAACAAGTGAAAAAGTAAATAGAAAATATTCTATGTGTCGAACATTTTCCTTTATTACTTAAATCAGAGTATGCTCTAGTGCTGATAAAGTGGATTTTTTGCAATTTAAAAAGAAACGAACACATTATCAAAAAAAAAATAGCGATGATTTTACTGGCAAATATCTCGAGCGATCGAATATGACGTACATTTATAATTGTCTCAACCACCAAGTGGTCAATCATTATCATATAATGATGGTCAATATCATAATAGACATGATTATTGATTTGCTCAATTGATGCGTGTTCTGGTTCACTTGTCGTATATTCTTACCGGATAACTGATGTTTGTTTGACAAAAATTATCGATTCAATGCACATTGTCTTAAATCAGATCATCATTTAATCAATCGATTTGATTATCTATTTATATAGTTGTGATGTGCTCATTGAAACTCTAACAAAACTGGTTCTTTTCACTCATGTACATTTTTGACATACACGAAATGATTATCGTTATCTTCATATTGAAGAAAGTCTAGCAACTGATTGTGTTTGTTATGTTAGAAAACAATGTTTTGTTCTTTTATACTGATATTTCATCGAAGAGAGTATGGCAGTTGTTAAGATAAGTTCGATTAAGAAAGAGCTGTAGAGCAAAAATATTTTTCATAGTATGCTCGTTAAGAGATGACTGATATATGAATATTCTATTTAAAATAGATAATTCTTTTCATAGTATATGAATACAAGGACACTGTTTAAGCTTGACACAATGTTTCTTATCGTTCATGAGAAATCAATTTAAATTCATCTTCGAACGTCTAGTCAGAATGATACATCCATGTAAAGAATCAACTGCTTAATTATTTTATACAACATTGCAATAGATAGTTGAATAGCTTCAGTTTCTTTTTTTGTTTATGTTGATCTATCGATAAAAGTTCTACTATGTTCCTTATCTATATTTTTATCAAAGTTCTAAATGAATTACTTTAGAAAATGATCAGCTGCATGACATAACACTTGTCGGTATGTTTTGGGGACAGCTTGGTGTAGTTTTCTTTTTCATGAAAACTTGATGAGTCAAAAACTATGTCATTTTATTGGCCATGTCCTTTTAATGTATAATATTTAAAAATACGAGACAAATATGATATTTATTAAATCATATTAATAATTCTTATTGGTATTTTTTTGTATCACAGTAGAAAAAAATATGAAAAATATTTAAATAATATTTTTATTATTTTCTAAAACATGTCCAACTTGTTTTACGACATATTCAATATTTTCTTTTGTAATCATATAATGTGTAACAAATCGACATTTAAATTTTCCTTGTACTGATACTAATATTCTATAATCATTCTTTAAAGTATTAGCAAATGTTTGTGCATCGATTTTAAGCTTGTCAGAATTTAATATAAAAAAGACCATATTTGTTTCAACATCTTTTTCAGGATTAATTTCACATCCATCAATTTTTGATAATCCTTCAGCAAGTAATTTTGCATTTTCATGATCTAACTTTAATAATTTTGGCATTTGTGTTAATGAAATAATACCTGCTGCAGCTAAAACACCTGCTTGTCTCATTCCTCCGCCTAGTACTTTTCTTAATCGTTTTGCTTGTACAATAAATTCATGTGTACCAATGATGAGTGATCCAACTGGTGCTGCCAAGCCTTTTGATAAACAAAATGAAACAGAATCACAAGATTGAACTAATTTAGCTGGTTCGACACCTAATTTAACAGCTGCATTCATTAGTCTTGCACCATCCATATGTAATTTTAATCCATATTGTTGACACAATTTTCCAACACTTTCTATATATTCAACAGTCAAGACTTTTCCTCCCATTCGATTATGTGTATTTTCCAAACAGACAAGTTTCGTCACAGGAAAATGATCATCTTTTACTGTTCGAATTCGTTGTTCAATGTCTTTAAGTAGAAGTGTTCCATCTGATTGTGTTGGAACTGTTCTTGAATGAATTCTTGCAAGTGTTGCACATCCACCTTGTTCGTATATGTGCATATGACATTCATCACCCAATATCATTTCTGAACCGAATTCTAAACAATGATTGAGAATACAAATAAGGTTTCCCATTGTTCCCGATGGAACAAATAAAGCTGCTTCTTTTCCTAATAATTTTGCTGCCATTTCTTGTAATTTTAATACAGTAAAATCATCACCATAAACATCATCTCCAACTTCGGCATTGAACATTGCTTGACGCATTTCATTTGTTGGTTTTGTTACTGTATCTGAACGAAGATCAATAAACGATGATGACATGTTATACTTTTATTTGCAAACGTAGAAATGACAAGACAAAGAATGAAGAGATATGACCATTAATACTTGTTTGTCATATCTGAAAAAGATAAGAACGAGTAATATTTATTCTCCAGCTGTTACTTCGTCAGTTATGATATAATATAAACCGCACCTTGCTTTTATGCATCATTTAAAGAAGAAAAAAAACAAGAATAGTTTTATATTTCAACAATATATAGTTATTTCAGTTTGGAATCAAACACTAGATTTGAGTATGTATTTGAGAATGTGTTTCAAAATGAGGTTCTAGTTGATAAATTTGTTTTTAGGTTTTTTTTGGTTGGATAGGGTGTGGGTGTGAGTCAGATTACAAAGTACACCAATAACTACCAAAACTTATACTCACACCCTCTCCTTTTTTCTTTCTCAAAACTATTTGTTGAAAAAAATTCTATAGTTAAGCTTATGATCAAATTGATCAGAGCTAAGAATAATTGTCGAGACATTATTTTCAATTCGATGTGATAAATGGAAATTTCTTCGGAAAAAATTTATTGATCATCTTTGATTTGATGTAAACTTACAAAATTCCAAATATCTGTTTCTTTATCTACATAATATCGATGTCCTCTATTGTTCATAATTTCCATTGTTACAGAACATGCGACATTTTCAAATATCTTTTTCGCTTTTGCACAACTTTGCAAATAATTATCTCTCATACCAGTTAATATATAAATCTGTAGTGACTTCTTAATCATATTCAAATTGAGTAATTCTTCATCTTTGTATCCTAAACCTCCGTAACCTCCACAATGATTACAAATTGCACTAAATACACGTTCACCATAATGAATAGCAACATTCGAACTGAATAAAACCACCATTGGAATAACCAACATAATAAAGACGAGATAAATCTAATTTTTCTTTGTAGTGCGCTTTCATATATTCAAGAATATAATCAAAATAGATGAAATCTGCATTTGGTTCTTGAATTTCTCAAGATAAATCATCACCAAATTGTAATATACCATGTTGATTATATTTAGGTCCCTTTCGAAATTGTTTACCTTGACTTTGACCGAAAACAACTAAAAAATTGTTGATATTTGCTTTTTCAATCCATTTTGTTCGAACTAAAGCCATAAACCATGCTGATGAATTTAAACCATGAAAAAATATCAATAATGGTACTTTGGAAGACGATTGCCGTACTTGTTTTGATTCATGTACAAGAAAATGACGATTTAATAATATTGGCACAGAGACTTCGAATATCAAACCATGTTCACTTCTATATTGTTTTTCATTTTGTCCAATATTCCATGCCCATTTTGTTCGTGTTAACAACTCTTCTTCATCAAGTTCATCATCTGATGATCTGTGACTAATCCAAATAGCATTGTTCGACTGAATATCAATCGATGTAAAATAATCAAGCCATATTGCCTTGTCATCCATTTATCTAAACAAAGCAAAAATGGATTTATTATTCTGATTCATTATCAATGTTGTCACTTTGAAAGTATCTGCAAAGTGTTTTTGATAGATTTAGAGTGAGCATACTCAGTAGCACAAAAAATTCATCATTAGTAGACGATTTTCATCAATTTTGAATGTTGAGGGTGTGGGTGTAATTACTGCGAATATTCTATTTTACACCCATACTCAAGACATATTAGTGTAATAACCTTCTGCTTAAAGATACTTGATTCGATCGAATAAAGAAAATAATATTAAAACAAAAGTCTATAAAATATATCAGAAGAAGTAATTACGCAAGAACAATGCATGTCTTACGAAATATTTCTGTGTGTTTATGCATAGTGTTGAATTGCTTCTGTTGACGTCAGTTGATGAATTATAGCAATGACAGAATATAAAGTCAAGCGCCGACTCCATAATAACAGCTGCACAAATCAAACATTTTTTTTATTCATATCGAAGATTTTCTTCGAGCAAAGATGAATTAGACTATTTTATTTAATTAAAATTCATTATAATGTACATACCATATTCTATCAACTCATTTTCGCTTCACTTGGTACATGTGCTAGCAGCAATACTTATTATTGAGATGAACATTTTTTTTCTTTATACAGATTATATTGACAAGTTAGCGCTCATCCTTTGGATTCGCCTGCCCTTTTCGGCAAGAAAGAACAATTTTACGATAATTCTCACAAAGAAATGTTATTGTTTCCAACAGCAGCCATTCTATCCTTCACATTTTTTATCTCGATACAAGGGATTTCATATTTCCCTCAAGCTTTCGTTGAAGAGACTTTTTTGTCTTGAGATAGAAATTCAGCATCTGGATAATCGTGAAAAATGTTTCAAATTTGAGATTTTTCTATAATTCGGTGTTTATTTTCAATATGAATTCCAATAGCTGCAGTTCGGAAGCGTTTTTCTAAAATCTTGTTAAAAATTTTCTTTCCACTTCAAAAAAAATTTTCCACTATGTTGGCAAAAATGTGTTCTGCAATGTAACATACACCGTACATAATGATATGTCACAAAACCTAAAAAAATTTCGTTTGCGTACAATATCTGAAATCCTAAAGAAATGTCGTGCGTGTCACTACAGAACCGTTTTCCCCTCGTTATCAATTTTTATAAGTCTCAGAAGGTTTCATATTCATATACAAAGCGCTTTTGGTTTCAGAAGCAGTCTTTTCAAGATTCTGATTTGATTTCCAATTCAAAGATGTTTCTTTTACTTTTTATATATCTCTGTAAGTATTTTTTTCGAAAAAATCAACTAACTACTAGTAGTAAGCTAATCCAAAATTTTGACAAAACAGGCAAGAAATTCAAGCGGATTGAAGCAGTCTCGACTAGTTCTTAATATAGCGTATCGAAAAACGGTAAGTGATTAGCCCGCAGAATCGAAATTTCGCTTCTCTTTACAATCGTTGACAAAGTGAAAACCGAGGAAATCTTTTAATAGTCTAGCCGGATGTATAGGTTTTAGATGAAATACGACTGTATCTGACATCTATAGTTATAATATATACCTTATAAAAAAGTGAAAAAAGACTCAACTCATTCAGCATTCAGAACAAAATCATCATGAGATATATCAACAAGATTCGTATTCTTAACCATTACATTCCGATCTAGCAACAAATCAGTCTGTCGTGTTCGTTGGTTAGACATACAACTTTGTCGGTGTTTTTCGACAATTGCCATTTTGTTGGAAACATATTCTAACCAAAATTCTTACAGTTCAAAGCAATTCTAAATTTTAAACGGATCACCGTCATACCAAACTCTCACTTAAATACAATTACTTTGTCGTGTATGAAACCTCCGACGATTCAGAGAAGGTTCTAGGTAAAATTCATATTATTTTAGTATAATTTAGCATCATCTGAATTCCTCTCATGAATCTGATAGTTATAAACGTAATGGAATATTGACGATGAAGTATTCAAAAGTTTGATAAGAAAATAAACTTGTGAGCTATCACTGAGTAGAAACAGGATTCGCTTAGATAGAAATCAGTTTCAAACAATAGGATACTTTTAAAATGGTGACCATCAAAATGAAAGTACGAGAAAACTTGTACATTATATCGATAAAAGCAAATAAACCTTCTTCTTATAAATAAACACAGGTAGAAAAAAAAAACAAATTGGTTTTTTTTTCTATCGATTCTGAATAAATCAATATAGCATCAGAAAATAGATTTAGCCTATCTTAGGTAGTAGTGTATAGAAAAAAGTCAAACTGAGGTACAAGAAGACCTATCTAAGGATGAACGTAGGTGTGGGTATGGGTCGACATCATATCACTTCCACCTATACCTACATCCATACCTTAATTTTGTGAGAAGTAGGAGAAAACATCTAAGGTATTTTTTTCGAATTCTTGGATTCGGGTTCATTGCTTGAATGTTTGATTTCTTTTTCTGTTGAAATATCCTTGTAAACTGACATGTGGTAACAGAGATCTATTCTACTGATAGTTTGATGAAGAGCAACATGGAAGAACCATACCTTCTAGAAAAGCTGATTGATTATTGAAAAGAAATTCGTTTCGTCATGTATGATTCAGATCGAGTGATGACTATTAGTATGATATATTATTTTAAAAAAAAGTTCTTTCATTCTAGTAAATGTAAAAGTGAGAAAATAGTAATGAAGACGATTCTTGTGTATGTGATTATTTCTGTATATCATGAGAAACTGATGTTCAACTAACGAACTTCAAAGAAGATATGAGGAATTTCCCTTTATAACATAGAAAAACGAAAAAAACGACATTGATATCAATTTTTAACAATTTTAATCGGTCTGTATCGATTATTATACTGAAACAAACAATAGTTTTGACATTACCTAAAATCTGTTTGTTTTTCATTCTGGAAGAAGAAGATATCGAAGCTAGAATCATTTTTGGTATTGATCATTAGAAAATAGTAAAAAGGACCGGAAGAAATATGGATGTAATTGAATTCATAATTACTTTATTTATTTATATTGAGTACATAATGAGCGAGGTTAGAAACAAAGAAACAGAAAAAGTGATAGCATAACAATAAAAAGACAATAGAGTATCATATTGATATAGATATGAAAAACGTATTGATGCACATTTATAAACTTCGAAATAAGATGATAAATAACAGATAACTACTGAGAGAAAAGAAAACAATGGCGAGAATACGAAAAAAAAAACATTCAAATCATCAAACAAGGAGTGGAATCACATTGAAGTAGTGTATTTAACTAAATATAGTAACGAAAACGCCGAGATACCAGAAAGATAAAAAAGAGTGAATAAATAAATGTAACGATGGCAGTTTTAGCATTGGTACCACTGCTGCTAGTGGTAATAGGACTTGTAATAGTGGTAGTAACAGGATTTTGACTGTACTGTACTTGGTAGATACGATTATTTCCATCATCAGTGAATAAAAGGCTACCATCTTTTAGAACAAGTAATCCAACTGGTCGTCCGAATGTGTCAGGTCAAGGTGGATATGTCAGAAATCCATACACAAAATCTTCATAGTAACCCATCGGTTCATTAGTGCTACTATTGAATGGAATAAAAATAATCTTATAACCGGTTCCATTATTTCTATTCCATGAACCATGAAATGCTGCAAAAGCACCATTATGATATCGATTCGGAAATTGATTATTTGTATAAAATCGCATATCAAGTACAGCTGAATGCGCTTCAAAAAGAACATTTGGTGTTTTTGTTATTGATACTAAATCAGGTCGTTCACTTGTTCCATTAGGAAGACGTCGTCTAGGATCAGTCAAATTTGAGCTCATATAAGCAAATGGCCAACCATAAAAATCATTTTCTTCAATACGTGTAAAAAAATCAGGGACAAGATCATCACCAAGTCCATCTCGTTCTTGACATGTCACATATAAATGATTAGTAATTGGATGAAATGCTACACCAACAGAATTTCTTAGACCATAAGCAAATGTTGTTTGATTACTACCATCAAGGTTCACGTGTTGAACAGAAGCTCGAGGTAATGGATCAACATCAACATTCGTTGCTGAACCAATTCCCACAAAGATTCGATCGCCACTGGGTGATGGAACAACTGTTCTTGTAATATGTCCATTTGGATTATAAGTCATTACTATTTCTCCTGTACCTGTGATATTTCGACTTCCTGGAGTCCACAAATAACGTCGAGTAGCATCTCTGTTACCAACATAAAAGTATCCATTGACAAAAGCCATACTATACGGATAATTGAGTCCATTCGATGTATCAGCAAACGTAACACGTTCATCTGGATAACCATCACGATTATTATCGATCAGACAAGAAATTCGATTAGCATTTGGTTCACTAACGAGAATATCATTTGTAGGTGTATATATAAGATAACGTGGTGATGCAAGACCAGTCATATATACCTTCACAGTGAATCCTTCAGGAATGTAAAGGAGAGGATCTTCAGGTACAGAAACGATTCGAGCTCCTTTAGTAGCCGATGGTGTAGCATATGGTGGTGGAAGATTATCAACAGTTAGGTGAATTGGTTGTGGAACAAAAATGATATTTTTGCCATGTGTTTGATAAATCACAACCCAAATCAGAAATGGAAAATGAAGTCTTACGAATGATGAAAACATGTTTGTGATTGCCGTCGTCGATTTTGTTCGTTCTGTCTTTAATTAAACACAATAGATGAAATAGATCAAAATGAAAGAATGAATGCAAATATAGCATGAATATCTATACTATTTCAGCAGACAAGTCACGAGAAACTCGACATTTTCTCGCCTAAGGAAAATACAAAGTTTCACACGGCAGAAAATAATTTTTGCAAGAAGAACAAGTGTGAAAACATTAACTTTCTTTAATTCTTTTTTTTTCTCACAAATGTGAATCGTTTTTTGAACGTTTAATTCTACACTTTCTATGCATCAAAACAATGACTGTTTCCTAATTCTTCTGTTGGAATAATGTAGTGTATAATGAAAAACTTACATTAACGGTTAAACAATGTATAATTGCTATCGGTATGTGAGTGCAAATATGAGTATGTATACGCAATGTGCGTTATAAATAGATACCTAGTAGTAAACAAAGCACTTTATCTGATGACAAAGATATTAGAAGACTTTGCTTCTTTCTGAATATATCTTATCTTGTTTCAACTATGAGAAAATGTTTTTGTTTTCTCATTATCACAATGAGGCATAGCTGAATGACAGAGACACGTTTTGGATTAAATATTTTCTTATGAATAAACGAAACAATGCGGTGATGATACTTTGTTTTTGACAGTTGTTCGTAAAAATCTCAAATAGACAAAATATCATAATTAGAAAAGTGTCGATAAGAGTGATGTCTATACTAGCTTGAAACTAACGAAGAAATATTGACAATGGATCAATTACTTTCGTCTTCATCTTTTCACCGAAATTGATCTCGATAAAACGAAGAAAACATATTGTGGAACACAGAGTTATACGAAGTATGTCACCACATATGTCCACTTATCAACCGAAACAGCTTATTGGTTGGTTCGCCTAACGGCTAGGGTGAGCGTACTCTATCTTGAGAAAATTTCAAATTGATCTTGAGGATGTGGGTGTGGGTGAGATGTGTATGTGAGTGTAAATAACCAGGAAAGCCACATCCACACCCTTCTCGTCTTATGAGTCACATCGCTATACGTCAAATGTATGGTATTCTTGATATGCTTTCACATAATGAAGCTGAGCAACGAATTAGAAAACTTGCACGTCCAATAACTGAAACAGTGAACAAACTATTCAACTTACAAAACAACGCAAAAATAATGTTCTTAAGAATCAATAATTAGCCTCAAAAGACATACCACAATATAATGGCATCACTTTGAAGTTGTTACATCCACCAACACTATGTCGTGGAAAGAATCGTCGACTTATTAATGTTAACAATGAACAAAAAGTCGAATATACATCCCAGTGTCATGATAAATGTTGTTTCAGAGATATGGTACAAAAAGCTGTTAAGGATATGAAACTATTTCACTGTGAAGTAATCGACTATAGAACCGGTAAAATATTTTTGTTCGTACAGGAAAATCAATTATAATAATCCTTCTATATTAAAGGTATATGTAGTCAAACAGTGAGAAACGATTTTCATATATTATAGTTTTGACGAAATAAGGTGTCCGCTCGTCATCAATACAGACGAAAGTCTACATGACATTCGTAAATGTACAGTATGTTCGAATATGATCGATCGTGTTCTTTTGTTAAAAAAAAACAAACGCTTGAGTTGAAAAAAAGCTAATAGGAATATGATATAATAAGTTGGTTCGTTAATTTGATAAGCAGCAGACTTTGGTGTTTCCATCAAAAATCTTTTTCTTAAATTTAATTAATTATCAGTCACTAATAGCACTAAATTCCATCATCCTGTTTTCGGAATATTCCTCCTGGATACTATCAAATTTTATAGGATTTCATAAGATCCAATAGGAATCTGATAATATTCAATTGTTGAATTGATTCTCTTGGATAAAGAATATGTTATGGGATAAAAACATAAGATGAAAATCATAGGATAAGAATTATAGAAAAAAAACGGAGAGTAAAGAGACTAAAGTTAGTATGATGAAAGGTAGAATTCGTCGATTGGGGAATTTATTTCAAGTATTTTTTTTTGTTACGTTCAGATATCAATATTTTGGAAGTATATGTACGTATATTAAATTACTTGCAACTGAATGTTCTTTTTTTTTATTAAAACGTTTCTTTTCTGAACTTATCAAATGATATTTTCGTTTTTAAATCTTATAGATTGAGATGGACATGTTCACATAATTTGAATGATACAACGAATGATAATCATAGTTTCTTTCATATTAAAATAATTTATTATACGTAGGTAATTGTTCAATATATGACTGTCCTTGAGAAAAACAGCATCATATAATTTATGAAAATCAAGCACATCTGATTCATTTAAATGAAAATACAATGTCATACTAGTTTACGAAATGAACAAGAATAAATCAAAGATGTCTATGAAAAAACTTTCAAAATTTCTTCATGCTAGTGTTATTTTTCTACTAGATAAAGATATTGGCAAATATCTTCAGTAGTTTATTCGTGAAGAACAAATGAGAAATAGTGCTGGTGCATGAAATCCTGATGTTAATGATGCTCTACAAAAAATGATGGACTATCATACAAAAGAAACGCTCTTTAGGTGGAACTCTTTATCATTTATCTATTAATGAAGCGAAAATTCATAAGCAAATGAATGGATTAAAACTAAGTCACGATAATATTACAAGAGACCAAGACATTGATCTTAAATTATTAGCAAAAGATCAAAAGTTATACTTCAATTTAAGGATAGTATTCATCCAACATGATTTATTTTAGTTCAACACAGAAACCATTTTTCAAGTTATATTTTCATTATAAAACGTGTTTTCAAAATAAATTTTATGTCATTCGTTTTTAAGTCAAATGTAAACTAATTATTAATATATGATTACCATCCAGTAAATATGTGCCGAAGAAGCTTTTCCTATATACCTATCCTACTCTATGAAATTTCTCTTCATCCTGATTGTTCCCTACGTTTCCCTCATTAACTCTAACCTATCCTGCAGGGTAGTAGGATATGGTAGACCTGCAAGTCCTGCTGCTCAGAACTGAGCAAGCCAAGTCTGACTTGACTTGTGACTTGAAAAATCTATTACTTGTCAAGCTCTGCTAGAGCTAGACTCGTCGGGTTCGATGGTAAAAATTTTCTGATGACTAATTTCGGAGACGACTCAATCGTTGTTACTCTAAAAGTAACCGTCAAGAATGCTCCTATTCTTATATCATCGCTGTCGAGATACCCTGAGGAGTGTGTAGAGCGTATTGGCTAATAAATCTAAATAAGTGAAAAACCATATGTTGTGTCTCTAAATCGGCTATTCAGAATAGTATGAGTACGAGTCCAAAAATTGTGGACTCAACAGTCTCTACTCACTGCAGATTTCTCTTATTCTGACCTCATCCACACCCATCTCTGTGGTAGGAAGGCTTCACCAGTCCCTAACTGTGCCACTTCTACTAGAAATTACCATGTGCACTATCCAAACTAGAATTTTGTACTACATATTTCGCTTGGTCAGTTTGTATAAGATTATAAAAATCCAGTCAGTCTAACAAATAAGTCATCGTTGTGTTTTGTTTTACCACAAAATATAAAGAAAAGAACAATATTTTTGTACAATACTCATACGGATAAAACATAATATCAATATCAACCATGCTAAGTGATTTTCATATCATCTAACAATTATATAAATGATCTACAATAGTATGAATCAAAATAACTTATTATAGCTACAAATACACAAATAAATATTGCAATACGAAAAATAAAGACGAGTGTAATAAATTATTAGAAAAAAAATTAATGAAGAGCTTTGAATATATTCGAACACACTAAGTTAATAGGAGCAAAAGTTGACAAATAGACTTTGAATAGATGCATCATTATGCACTTGAGATATATATTTGGATTAATATGACCTTTGATTAGAGTTCGACGATTCTTAAGAAACTGAAACAATTTAACTTTCAAATGTATAGAAAATTTTTGAAACCTCAATCGAGATAACATCATTATTTCATACTTGAGATAATAGATTTTAGTGTATATGAATGTTTCTGATAATTTAACGATTTCAGTTCCGGATAACTGTTGTAATTACCGAAGGCCACCTGCAATCATTGAAATAAACAAGTCCAAAAGCAATATATTAAAACTAAGAAGAAAAAGAATTCTATCATTTGACTTTATTCATTGATGACGTATTAAGATAAGTAGAATAAATATTAATGTTTCTATATTGTTTTTCGAAAATGCTGTGTTTTTGCAAGCATATCTAGTGAAGATAGAATGTATGCACTTGACAAGATATTTGTATATGTCAATAACATACATTTCTCGAAGATTCCATTATATAATTATCTTTTTCTGCTTGTCTTATTATATCATAAATTGTTTGTTTTCCGTATATAAGTTAAATGAAAGCTGATGATGTATTGTTTATATTTTATACTAATAAATTAAAATTCTATTGAACGCGAAAAAAAAAAATTAGAAAGTCCAATTTATTTTATATGAACAAACACATGCAAGCTGGTACTATGTAAAAAAATTTTTAAAAAAAGCCGTCTGATATGTAAGAAAAGAATGTTTTTTTTTCTGTGTTTTGTTTACGTTATAACAAAATTGATAAGAGCGTAATGATCTTGTGTTATGATAAAAGATTAGATGGTTTCATATGCATGTCATATTTACAACTATCAACTAAATCAAAAGTTAAATATCAACGAGTGACATAATTCAATGATAGACTACATCAAAACTAGGACAAGTACTTTTGATCATATTCAAATATTTCCGATTATAATTCCTTTACAATTTGAATTAAATACATGTCTAGTAGACTTGTTTTAGATTGTGCATATGAATATTCTGTTCATTGAAACTGAACCGTACATTCTTTTGAAACAGTTAGAATATCAAGCATCGAAAGTGAAAATGTTGAAGTGGTGAAACATAAAAAGAAACGTTGAAATACCTTATGTCGATGGATACACATCGACACTCCAGAAACAGAAGAAAAAATATGAATCATACACAAGTCTTATTCGCTCTTTTACTATATTAATCAGCAATCTGTCTGTGCGTATATATATTATTATTTTTCTTTCTGTACCCAGGACTTCGATTAATGGTTCTATTTTTATTCGTTGAGTTTTTTCTCTTACTATGTGCATATACATGCAAAATAGACTTAAAATTAGGAATGTTTCGATGTCGCGAATATTGAGAGAGGCAGTTCGAAGACTGTTTTTCTAGAATATGTGAGCAAAAAATAACAATAAAATGCTCAACTCCGTTTAAAAAAAAAGAAAATTCTTCAAAATTTTGGAACACAGTGAACTGATTTCCAAGAATCCTTCCTTAAAATACTTTCAGCTACACTCATTAATGCAAAAATTGGTGTTCAATAACATTTACAAGAACTTCTTTTCCTTGCTTGCTAAAGATGTTAAACATAAAAATTAAATTCTTCATTTTGAATCTATTTTACATTGTTTTTGCAATGCATTTGAATTGAAAATCAAACAAACTTTATTATGTCCATGTTTTTCTTTCAATATTTTGCTCTTCGATATTGCAGGTTTTTATATTTGTTGATTAATACAAAAACAATATACATGTGGTGCTTATTCATACGCATGATTGGTAAAATAATTGTTTCATGTCAATTTTCAAGGTTATATTGATGGCAATTTTGAGGAAATGTGTATAGTTGCTTATGTTTGCATAAGGGGGCACAATTATCAACGGCCATACAATTCTTACAAGGAAAAAACGCAAGAAAAATTGATTCAGTTCTACATAAATATACCACCATGTATTCATTTCTTTATAGTATCCAATAAAAGCAAAAATCAAGATGACTGATCCCCGATTTTGTTATAAGTCAGTAACAGATATAGACTTGGAAATTTTCAACAAGGTAAATCAATGTATTCATTTCTTCTATGGATTTTCTTTATTGGTATATCAATTTGTTTTTAGTATAAGAGTTCTATTAATAGTGAAGTTCGAAAAAAATATCCGTCAGTTCCAGCTAATTTTGAACTGAAGCCAGTGCGTGTTCGACACGTCGAAGCCTGTGGCACGATTCATGATTACAAAGTACAATAAAAAATTATTCAATGTTATATTAATCACTTATTTTATATTAATATTTTAGATTGCTTTACCCGATAACAAATTTGTCAAAGTTTCTTTTCTGACAGGAGGTGATTATATGCCACCGCCTGACCGTAAGCCAGATTGGAAACCACCAGAGCCTCGCATCACGGTTGACGATACATTAACATCAACAGCTGATGAATAATCTGCTTCTTTTTTTTCCCTTTATTATTATTTTTTCATAGACTTTTGTAACTAGATATGATTGACCCTATGTCATTCTAACTTTGCGACTTAAACTTATGTCGTAGATCTTGCATGATAATGTAGAAAATAGTGAGTCTCTAGAATTACAGTAAAGATTAAATAAATATGAAAAAAAACGAAATCGTTCATTAAATTAAATCGACAAACTATCAAATTGAAACCAGCACTGTTATGTTGTCGCTCGATGATCAGTTTGCATTTCTCGAGCAATATTATAGATTGAACATTAAATTCCATAATTAGTGTACATTATGTAGGAATTTTTTCACTATTATGAAAACCTGTATGTTCATACACTAGTGGTTGAAAGTTTTCTTCATACAGTATCGTTAATAATTAGTCTTATAAAGCATATTAGTGATGCAGAAATTTTGTAACTGAAGTCTTTGAAACAAAAAAAACAGCATAGGTTAAATATGGAGAATGTGTATTTTTCAAACATCATGAATACTTTTAATAGTCTATTTATAGAACACTCTCACCTAGAAAACTTGAGAAAAAGTGTCTGTGCATCATGACAATAGTTTTCGCTTCAAATTTTATAAAGACAAGTTGTGATGTGGCTTACTATCCAACAGCTTCAAAGGTGTCATCTAGCTAAGTATTATATAGATGTAGATGGAAATCTTACGTCCATTCAAACTCAGATTCTCTTCTTCAATGAAGACAATGAAATATTTGAGTCTTCACAGCCAGCTAATGATATTTTGTTTTCATAAATAACAGATTCAATATAAAGTTCTTGCTGTTTAAAAAGTGAATCTCTCAAAAAGATGTCATCATTATCATTCATAACAACAAAAATCTTAATAATTTGTTGTCAATCTTACAGTTATTAGTCTTCCCTTTCCGTGAATAAATTTCTAGCTCATTTAAAATTATCTTTGACTAGAGAAGACCAAGACAAGTGTTAATTTGATTCAACGTTGTATTGGATGTTTGCATCATACAAGTATTCAATAGCAACATGTTCTGTCTTTAGCTGTTATTATGGTTATAATAACTATGAGCTTCACTTATTCAATAGAGTAAAGAAAGGCTATTTTCTCTATGACAAAGTCTTTTTTTAATAGACACTGAAGTTTTTGCTCGAATGCCTTTTGTTATCAATTATTTGAACGTATTCTTGTATTGTCTACAAATATAAAATCATAATAAGTAATTCAAAATATAATAAAAAAACAAGAAGAATCTTACTCATTTATGTTCGAAAGTAAAAGTAAAACGACTTCTATTTTGCATAATCCTGCAGCTTCAAATTCTCAAGTTTAATCGATGTACGACTGGAGTGTGGATGTGGCTATAGTTGGGGAATGTGGGTGAATGTATGGGTATACCGACACCCACGCACGCCGCACTCACATACCCCACAGCCACAGTTACGCACACTCACAACCACACCCAAATCAATTGCTAACTGTCAAGCAAAACTGCAACGATCCTATGTGAAACTGAAGTGAATGAAACATAATAGAATGTTCTTCACTAAGGTTTTCAGAGAATGCTTCTTTGCACACTTATTTCCGTTTTTCACTTGGCTTTTTTTGTATATTTTGATTTCTCCCAATCACACAACAACAGCTGCTAAGACTAGTACATCAGTGCCACTGGATTGCAGCATATGAATTACATAAACTCACGAAAAAGAATGACTCGGATCATTATGTGAAAAAGTTCATTCGAAGGAGGCTTAGCAAAATGTATAGGTCGGATCTTGCATTCTCATTATTTCTGAATAATATGTCCTTTTGGGTTGATTTAAAAAAAATGAAAAAAAAATGGTCTAGATCATTTCTCTTAACTCAAAAGAGTAAAGATAATGATAGTGAATCACAGTTCTCTTTTGTTCATATCTAATATCTTGTGTTCAGTTATTTTAAACTTGTATCTCTACATTGTAAGCACTCTATAGTGTAACAATAAACTCCTCTCAGCAAAAAAAGAATAACTATATTTATTACATGAAGAAACAACAAAATCAGTATTCAATTTGATAAAAGGACAGTTTTTAATAAATGCATTTTTGTAATAATTATTGGTTGGCTAAGCAGAAATCTTCAATTCTGAATTAAGTAGATCATTTGAAAACCAAGGAAGTTCTTTTATTATATTTTGATTAACAAAGCAAAAAGAAAACAAGTCTTTATATTTTTGTCTGCTTGATGATACGAAATGAATCGCATACAATACAATTATTTAAATTTGATTTCGACTAGGATATTGTTTCTTAAAATTTCTTGCAAATATGTTTTGTATGTTCGATAATGATTTATACAACGGAAGAAATATTGCTAAATCGTTAATTGTAGTCTGTTGATTTTCATTTTCAATAATTACTTCTAATGATGTTTTAACAGATGAAAGTACAAGATGGAGGTTAAATAGAAGATCATATGTATCAGCACGACTCAATCCATTTTCTGTAATCAAGGATGCTTCTGAACCTTGTTTAAAAAAATCTAATCCATAACTATTCAAATAGTATGCTATATTTGTATGATCACGACAATCAATATCCACATATGGAACAATTTTTGATGATAAATCAAGATTATAAGCAAGATCCCACGAACCAATCGTAGAATTGTAATGTGACATAAAAAATTCATGTGTAAGACCAGACAGACTAGCAAATGGAGATATTGATAGATTTTGTATTTGTTGTGATTGATGATAATGCAAATTATATTCAAATGTTCCATTATCATAATTCGATTGTTGTGCAAATGATGTATTTGACAAAGGCAAAACTTCTTCTTGACCAGTATTCATTGAACGTAAATATTTTGTTATATTTTCAATATAGCATTCATAGACATCTTTTACAATTGAATTATACGTATCAACATGTTTTCGAAATTCTTGAGAAACCGGCGGTAAAAATAATTCCGAACTATATTTATTTTCTTGACGTTTTTCATTTAATTCTGCATCTTCTTTGCGTGTAATTAACCTAAAATATGTATATATCCTATATATGATTCAATAGAAAAACTTTTCTATTCACTTACCATAGCATATAAGTGAACAGGTAAGCAAATGTAGTCATAATTTCAATGCTATCACTAACTAGATGAAAATATTGTGTATCCATCAGATAGACAAGCACAATATTTGCTGGTTCAAAATAATGTAAATGTGTTAAAAGACCAGCTAAACCAATAAGATTACCATGACGATCAAGTAAATTCAAGCGATAAAGAAAATCTAATGTAAATAAAGTATGAAGACGTGTTTGAGCATCAATTAAGTTATGGTTTATTGGTGGTTGTGCGATCAAAGGATATTGTAATGCAATTAATGATCGATTTATTGCATTTTTAGAATCTACCGCATTTGAATGTAACTGAAGCAAACGCATGAGAAACGTCACATTTGTGGGAAAATGTCCACGGATATTTGGTATAGCTGATGTAATCAAATGGCTAACTTTTGATAATGGTATATCAACAAATACAACATGACCTTGAACATCAAAACCACGACGACCAGCACGACCTGATGCTTGTCGATATTGTAAAGCATCAAGATAGATTGACTCTCTTACAAAAGCAACTGTTTTTGTTGGCATATGAATACCCAAAGCTGTAAAAAGGAACAAAACATTTTATTAAGTACGTGTCTGAAACGATATATTTTCCATCTTTTCGTTTGATGATAGCACATAGAACAAATGGCTTCATTAGATCGCACGAATCTATAGAAAAATTATCGAAAACATCTCTTAAAAAGATAACATGTCCCCAAGCTCTTGTTGACAGAGATTAACAGGCTACACTCTGCTAAAAAATGCTACATGTTACACTTGTTGATCTTTTGTCGAATGAGTTCCGTTGGTAGAAAATAGCTTTTAGAAGGCTAGAGAACATGTTAGTCTATTCAGAGATGCTTTTCCTATTAGACTCACTTAAAAAAAAAAATTTTTTTTTGATAGAATTCAGAAAACACGTACGAAAACGTTTGTTTGCACAGATTTTTTACTCAGATATACCCATGGTAAATATTCTGATATGGAGTTTCTTCTTTGATTTGTTCCAGATGTTCACACCAGAAATATTTTTTTAAAAAGTTCTCCGTTTCTACACATTTTGCTGATTTACGTACGTACCAAGCGTTGCTGTTGAGAAAACTACTTGAACATAACGATTACGGAAAAGTGCTTCGACAGCCATTCGACCTTTATTATTTGATTCAGCATGATGATACGCTACACCTCGTCGCATGTATCCGACTAATCTTGGATTTTCCTTCGATGTTCGTTTCAACATAGCATCAACTAATTGTCGATCACATCCATTTCGATTTGCTAAAGTGCTTTCATCCAAAATGCCATATAATAATTGCTGTTCATGTCTGGAAAGTGTTGTTTGATTATTTATTTCTTCTTCTAGCATTTCAAGATCCTGATTTCTCTTCCTAGATTTTGATAGTTTGTTTGACTTGACTTTATTTTGAATTTTTTCTATTATTTTTACATGTTTTCTTAATGTTTCAATTTGATTTTTATATTTTGTTTCTCTTAACTGAGCTTCTAAATTTTCGAAATACTTAGCAACAGTTGTAGCCATACGTTCACATAAGTATCGACTATCCGAGAAAACGATGCAAGGTAGAAGATTCTTTTCTTTCAATGTCAATATAAAATCAATAATTAACGATGCTATTGATTTTGGTTCAAGATACTCAATATCTTCAGAAGTAATTGGTTTAAGAGATGTTGTAATTGCATCAATCAATGAATTTTCTTTATTTTCAATTAGACCATTGAATTGATTACAAACAAGTTTGGAATAATTATTGCATCTATTTTGTTCAACCACCCAATCAGGCGAGAAGTATTGTGTTAGTGTTGGCATTGGATTAGATTTAATGTCGTTGCCTCTGATGGTAGATAAGAGAATATCTATTATAAGCTACATCAAGTTCTATACGTATGAAGTTTACAAACTTATCTGAATAGCTTTATTTAAAAGCTAAAGGAAGCGTTAGAATACTAGTGTTGATCTTTGTCTCTAGGTCATGTAAACCTCTGTCCAACGACATCATTCTTTCGTATATATCGCAATATTGTAGCTAGGAATACTGTATCAGTCTGTGCAAGAGATGTTGAATAGATTCATTCATTGTATGACATAAAGCGAAGTCTAAGACGATGTCACTAGGTTTATTCAACACAGTAATGAATTAATCTTAATGAATGTGATATCTAAGACTTGAATTATGTATGTAACTGATCATGAAAACAGGTTGTTACATAGCAACTTTCAAACATGAGTACTGTCTGCTATCTATTGATTTTTAAAAGTTTTCCCATGTGATTCAAAACATAACAGAAATAAGTCGTAAACCAGCACTAGTACAAACAAAGATGCTTCAAATGTCGAGGATTTTTAATGTATGAAAGGCTCGAAGAACTCTAATGATAAATTAAATTATTCTTGAAGCTTTACATTTTTTGTTGGTTACTATCGCAGCTAGAGTTTTGCCCTAGAATAAGGGTAAGTGTCGGGCATAGGTCAAATTCTCATAGCCTAACCCAACCCGAGATCAATTATTTTTTTTTGTGATTTGACTCGCACTGTGGCATAAACTTATTTTTTTTCTTTTAAAAAAATTTATTTCTCAATAAATTATTTTTTCTTTCATTTCGTACTTGGAAACGAAATATATTTTCTGTAGACATCACCGATATGCCACAATCGAAACAACTCGGTCCTTTGATAGAACGTCTTCTTATTTTTCTTTGTTTTCTTATGTGGTGAATCAACGACCTTTATGTCATCATTGAACGGACACTGCAGTCATTATACATCATTGCCAAAAATGAATAAATAAAGTGGGTAAACTGAAAAAAAAAGGCCGTGGAATACCCACATTCTTGTTTTAATAAGTTGTTCCTCCTTCTCTTAGAGAACTTTTACACGGAATAACATTTTCACTACGTTTTCTATCTGTGAGATACATAGAGGCAACAGATTCATCCAGAAATCCACACATTTTTTTTTATAGTTTTCTTTTCAAGGACAAATTTCTTATCAACGGCAATTGTTAAAGGTGAGTATTTCTCATCATCACAAAAATACGTTTTCTACATACGGTAAGAATATTTTGCTTTACGACTATACTATTAAAACATTCACGTCAAATACGCAGAACTTATCGAATGTGTCGTAAAACATTTGAAATAAACATTCCAGCGATGCATGATAGAATTTTTTGGTATTCCATTGAGTGATCAGCTATAGAGCAAGTTTTAGCTAAACTAAAGAAATGACCATATTTTTACTAAGAGCTACTGCGACTAATAATGTAGACAATACGTTTATGCCTATAATCAATGGAGATATTGTGTGTATGTCAGTTCGATTTGTTGATGATATCTTGGTTATAATGACAAACAGAAGAGTAATAGAAGAAGACTAAATACAAAGAAGAACGGTTAGAGAACAAAATAACGAATGTAATATTTGACAACTATAAGATAGAACGAACATAAATATATATCTAAGAACAGATTGGAAAAATTCCCCATACGATCTAAGATGACACAGTGTAAGAATTTCGATATGTGATAAAAGGAAAAATTCTAGATACACGAGATGTGAATATTTCCCACATTAATAAATGTCCTTGAATTCTCCACCTAAACAATCAATAAACCTGTCACAAGAAAAATATAAAGTAATTAAAAGCATTGTTTCTACGGAAGAGTTGACTCATTTTAGCTATTATATCACCAAGATATCTACAAACAGACTTTTCTTCAAGCACTCTATAAGATATTTTTGATGAAAATCTTTAAATGTAACAAGCTTTCATGTATGTTAAACTTCAGAGTACATTTCAGTTTAAGTTTCACATGCACACAGATTTTTCCGTGTGATTGGGAAAGAAACATAGAGGATTAAAAACTATCAATAGCAAGCTTCAGATTAAAACTAAAAACTATGCAAATTTTCTCTACACATCAGACTCAGGCATATCATACTCATCGACACGTTCATTGTTTTGGATGAAGAGTGTGAGTGTCACTCTTCACTCTGATCATACCCACTCCCCAGCCACACTCCACACTCACACCCTTTTGTTATTCGTTTTAGAAGCCATGAAATTTTTGAATAAGTTTTAACGATATAGTTAAAATAACGAACCAACAAACTGTTCTATTTTGTCTATTGTTTCGTTCCGCTGAGTCCTGCCCGTTTCCTCTTGTCTTCTTTCAGTTTTTCTATTCTATTATTTTTTTTATTGGTTGGTTCTTGATGTGTCGGTGTGGTTAGGGTATGGATGAGTGTGGGATGTGGGTAGATGGGTGTGCGTGATGTCGGTATGTTCATCAGAAATTCCACACTCACATACCACTCAGAAAACCATTCATACCCACACCCCATTCTATGCAGTGTATTTCGTACTTTCTCTCTATAGGTAACATATTTAAAAATAAATGAAGAATAGTAATTAAAAGAAAACAAATGAGATTAAATTCAATTGGTCCCACTTTTATATAATTCAAGATGACTGTTAAAACCATTTATATAATTAGTAACAGGTATGATAACTAATGTTATTCATGAATTTGAAAAACAAAGAAAAATATATCATAATCAAATAATTTCACCTTATTTTGTCCTCCTTTTCAAGGCCTCTATGATGCAACCTGCGCAAATGGCTTGAAGAAACTTTTTAATTATAAAAATACGATACCATCATCATAGCAGGATAATTGATTTTCTAATTAATCTTTAATAAGAGAAGTGAAAAAAATTAAGTTTCATCCATTTTTGTATGTTTCTTTGTGTAAAAGTTGATCCCTTATCGTTTACGATGTCTCAGGAGGATTAAAACAAATTGATGCTGTCTTCAAGCAATAATGACAGCTCTTGACAGCTTTTCAAACAAGCTCCTGCAAATATATTAGTGACAAGAAGAGTAATTCAACTTTTTCATTAGTAGTGTCGGCTTAGCATCCCATTAATTGATGCTAATTTTAACACTTTTCTATTAGGATTACAAATATAATTTAATACTTTGGAATTAGTATTGAATTAGCATTAACTCAATACAAACCTTTGTAGTTCCAAAAATCGAAAAAAAAGTTGTATACTTGCAGGGATTATCTTTCCAATACAAGAACAAAGTTCTACTATTGTAAGAATTCTGTTCAACAACGGAATAATTTCGTTCCGTTTTTTGAAACCATAAGTGTCTGCATTATGTTAATGCTAATTTAATATTAATGCCAAAGCATTAAATTATTATTTTTCATCCTAATACAACATATTGGCATTTGTCTAATACTAATGCTAAGTCGATGTCTCCTACAGAAATGTGAAGAAAAAGAATGCTTACAGAAATAGTTGAGTTATAGTTCTAACAGTTCATGGTATCATTTCATTTGATGTTGATTTCATAGATGAAATTTTGATAGACTACTGAAAAAAGAGATGATTTACTTTGAATAATAGAAATAATGGAAACTCCTGTGCTATGATGAAACAATTGTAATGATAGACGACTAGTTTTTGAAATCGTTAGGGATGAATGAACTATATTACCGTAACTGTCAAACTGTTTAATCATTCACTTTTTATACATAAAGTGAAAGGAAAGTCAAAGTATTATAATAATCAAACTTCAATGAACAATAGATATATATGGAATCACACTTGAGATGCAATGTTTGCAGTTATGTTCTGTCAACTGATTGACGTTCTGCTTGTATTAGTATACAATCACATAAAGATCGACGCATATATATATTTGATCTACGTTTTCAATTAAAAATTAGTTTTCTAGGACATCGAGACGACAATGTAGAACTAAAGCAATGATAATGACTTTTTTCTAATGGAATTACGCTAAGTTATTTTACTTTTAAATTTCTTTTTGAGTTTTTAATTTATTTGTTTGTACCGGCTGCAAATTAGTATGTGCATTGCCTGATCATTACTTTTCACAAGTGTTCCATGAAGTGAAAAAATATAACATTAAATATACAACATTCTTTCTTCGGTTAGTCAATTAAAATTCTATAAAAGAAGATTAGCTTTGTATGATGACATTATAAATTCTGTATGAAAATCATGGTTTGCTTATCATTTAAGAACAGTAAAAGTGTGCATCACATTTCCTCTTCATATTATTAAAGGATGTCGTCTGTATCAGACTACAATTCGACCTACAATCATATTTCATTGATCATTTTGCCTATCCAAATCGCATTCGGATTTTTAACTAATTTACTTAATATTTTTGTTCTCACACGGCGAACCTTATTGCGAGCATCACCGTGTACATACTATTTTCTTGCAACAGCTGTGAGCGGTATTCTGTGCGTGATAATCGGACCAGTAGTTCAATATTCTGAAGTTCGTTTCGGTTTCACGCCGAACACAAATTTAGTAGGCTGTAAATTAATTCCTTACTTTTACGTACTGACGCAATTCGAAATAAGCATATTTCTTGTACTCGCCACTTTTGATCGATTTTGTGCATCGTCAGCGTCAGTCCATATGCGAAGTTGGAGTTCGGCGCGTGTCGCTCGTCGAGCTATTATTGTTCTTGCACTTGTACTTCCCATTGCACTTAGCCCGATACTGGTCATCTGGTATATTAACAATGTCTATGGCCTTTGTTTGACATACACTGATATTGGTTCTAAAATAGTGGCCGGTATTAATACTGTTTTTGTAGATTGTTTTCCACCAGTCATTATAGTTATCTTCGGTCTACTCACTATACTCAATATTCGAGCACAGAGAAATCGTGTGATACCTGCCGCTAGTGGAATGTCGCGACAACGAAACACTGACATACAATTAGTACGAATGTTGCTGTTGCAAGTAGGCGCTTATTT